TTTTTCACAATGAGACTTACTAAACTCAACCTTAGAAATCATTTCAACGCAAACAATTTCGCAAAAATTTTCTAGATTCTAGATTCCTTTCGTTCTGTGTATACATAAACTGACGCAGAGAAAGCAGTAGTTTCATATTTAAATATTTCTATTTAGTGCCAATGAATCTGTCGCCTTTTCATACTGAAAATATTTCCCAACCTGTAATCACCGTATATACGTCTTTCGCTGATTTAGTTTCGCATTGTTAAGCATGTGCCTCTCTATTGAACGTCATTCTTCTTGAAAAGACAATAGGACAACAGCGCTAGTGTTAAGCTTCATAATCCACCTGCATATATGAGTACTTCGTACCTCCGTCCTGCACATACTGTAAAGTTGCGGTTGTCACTGTTTTTTATACATTAACTGAAATTAAATTCCAGTGCAAAATAAATTTGCGCATATGCACACAGCAGCGGTAATGCAATATGTTTGGATTGAAAGAGATCCATAAAATTGTTTTTCGGACGGCTTTATGTTTTGTACGAAAGAGAGGGCTTTCGAATATATGGCATGACAGTCAAATAAACAGACTTTTTTTGTTTTTTGGTGATTTCATTTTTAAAGAGCCCGAAGCTTACTTTAAGAATGTCTACTGTCTTTGCTTTAATATTTATTTTTTTTTACTTTGCTATGAGCTCAAAGGTATGTCAACGCAGTTTGTTTGCTTGATATATATTCTCCTTGCAAAGTTTCGAGTGAAAGCAAAGCTATTTTGTTCAAAATTCTGTTATTTTCTATGTACATCATTTTTTAAGTACGTTTCCGTTGTTATTTCATCGGTGAAAACCCATCTGATTGCTATGTACCTCGCTATCTACCGTATACAAGAGTATGGACTTGTATTTTCCCGCTCGTCGTACCAGAGGTAGTTTAGGTGGTTTATTCAATGTCGAAGTGCAGTGTGTGCAACGTCACTGTTTTGGACAATCCGTCACCATTTTTTAGCCCCTTCAAGTTCGAGATCACGTTCGAAGTGTACGAAAGTCTAAAGGAAGGTATGTATTTTTGATGTCGACAAATTAGCATAGAAATTTTAAATGGTTCAGATCTGGAATGGAAGCTCACTTACGTCGGTTCGGCGGAGACCGAGGACTACGACCAGCTGCTGGACGTCGTTCTCGTTGGTCCGGTTCCTGAAGGAAGGCACATGTTCGTCCTGGAGGTGGGTGATGATTCGTTTATCTGGTAGCTGAGGACAGAAATGGAAAAGGTTCTTCACGATCACCGCTTTGGCTTTATTTTCTTTGCTTATTTACAGTAGCTGGAATTTAAATATTTTAAATAGGGTCTGTTTTTTTATCATAGAAAAGTAATACTTCTAGTTCTAATAAACAAGACAGAGTCAATGAACAGAGTTGAACAGTTGGTCGTTCGCTGGTTTTCGTGCTATGAATACAATTTCTCTGATTTGTAAATTTAACGTATTAGAAGTTTTTCCTTTCTTGTTTGCCAGATCTTGAAGGTAGAATATTTGAATGTTGACGGAGTGCGATTTTTTGTAGTTTATTTCATTGTCGTTAATCGTGGGTCGCCTGTAAAGGCTTATTAGTTTTGTTAATAATTTTCTTATGAACTCGTCTACTTCTACTCGTTTTTTACTTGATAGTCTAGTATATTTCTGTAACTATTACCTCTAGAAGCGTATTATTATTGCTACAAGCTTATCTGTCTAACTTTGCTGATTTTCTATAGTTTTGGGGCAAAGACAAATAGTCATTTCTTAGTGTGCTACAAAATAAATTAAGTAATGATGTTTTAAAAACAAGCTGAATTGAAGCTTTTATGCATCGTAGCGTTGAAATTCAAAGGAGCCTTCAGTATCTGGATCAGAAGGGGGAGGAGCACTACATAACGCCTGAAGGGCAGTGTCATGACATACATTGAGCTCCCCATCTACAGCTCGTCAAGACACCATGCAGATGATGTGTAAGACTGTTGAGGATCTTCTTGGCGAAGATCTTAGTGGAACAACATAACTTGCTGACTACAAGAACTACGATCAGTTGATAAGGTTAGCTTGCAGCTTTGACGGACAGCCTCAAGCAGTGATACAGAAAGGTATAGTAGTTAGCTGAGAGAATTCCTAAGAAGGCAAGAAATGGATTCTAGTGTTGCTATCTAAGTAAATCAGGAACGCCAAAAATTCCTCCGAAACCTGTTGTGAGCATCCTGCGTTGTCGTCAAACAGTAAGAAGCACTTCTTACCTTAGATACAATCAAGTAGCTGAACCTCGTCAGACGAGGTCAGTCAGTTGCTGAGATAAATTCCTAGTGGCACGAGTTATATAACGAACGACTCTATAAGGACTACATTTCACCCGTAATTGCACTGTCCCCTTGATTCTAGTAAGCTAAAGGGGCCATTTTAAGCAGGATTTACGATTCCATCGTTTTTAAGCACTTGCAGTTCCATATGTATCTTGCATCATCTTGTCTGTTAGCATCATTTATTTTAATTACGAACGATGTATCAGAAGCTTGTACTCCTTATATACAACCACATGGACATTATAAGCTGTTCGTATGCTCGAGCATGCCAAATAAGGAACGACTCTGCTTTTGTTCTTGGAGAAGTTATTGAATATTTGACCTGCTACGGTGTACGAAGAGCTTATGATATTTATGCAGTAATATAAGTTACGATTAATGTTAGCTTGACCAATGGTACAAGCTAGCGTTGCTGGTAGCTGAGCGAGTGTTAGAAGATGTGATTATGCCTTAAAGCTTTTCCTCACATTCAGCTTCAACTTCTTTGAGCATAATCACTTGTCGATCTTCTCAGTGTCTTTAAAATAGACTGATGATTCTTCATCAAGATAATTTTGATGGATATGAATATGTTATATACGATTTTATCGACCTTTCGCATCGCATTGGTTCCAGATTCATTTTCAGGGGTCATATTGTTAAAACTTTTCAAAAACTAGTTATTTATCTAGCTATTGAAACCAGTTGTTTACATACTACTGGACATTTATGCTAAAAAAACGTTTCCTTTTCATTTCCTTCAAGCAGTAAATTTCATCCGAAGAGATCGACTGGAAGTTTATTTGCTTGCGAAGCTTTGCACCTGGATCGTTTTCAATCGGCCAAGATTTTGTTTATATCTCGGGTTTCAGATATCGTACAATCTAGAGGATACTCAAGAATGTGCAGTGACTATTGTTCCCCACCCACTGTTATGGGGGGAGGGGGTACCATACCACATCGTGCAAAATTACATATTGAAGGTCACGGGATGACTGAAACAATGTTTATGATCTGTTGTTAGTACGCACGATTATTTATTTCCAATTGGCTGTTTTAAAATATGGATAAGGATGCTATATATTAATGTACCTAGAATCCTACATTACTACAAGTACCAGTAGGAGGCTGTCGTCATGCGCTCTCAGCTAAACACTGTAATTGGGAGTCATCCTTAGTTCTGATATCTCGTTGCATGAGTACGTGAAACGAATAGATCGTTCATTTTCTCATTTTACTGACTTGGAGTCGAAGACTTAAGGTATTCGAAGTTATCAGGTCAGTTGTTTTTTCTTTTTTACCATTTATGACTAATCGAGCTAGCATGATCTTTAGCCGATCTTCGTTTCAATTGACTCTCGTTAAGATTCGTTGCCAGCAATTTTGGTATTTGTTGGAGTAACCTGATTCAGCACATAGTCGAACAGACAGTATCTGATAATTTTACGATGAGTTCTAATATCCTCGGTAACAAATACTGTCCACTGCATTACAGTAGGCACTATTAAGAAGCGTGTGATTGATTTATTTTACCAGTTGACGGTATGTTAGCATCTGTACTGATAGACAGGTGCAGAATCATCAAATTATGCAAATAATTAGTTAAATGAGATCCTTTTTCAATAAATGTACAGGAAGCTATATTGCATCGCAGTTCGAACAGATTAATTGTGCAGACATCCCTTTGTACGATAATTCTATCCGTTGAAAAACGATTTAAGCATTCTGTAGGTTCATTTGTACCGTCAGCAGTCGAGGACATACCAGATATATTTGAGTTGTTCTTTTCCAGGTAAAAAATGAATGTTCTTCGCCATCATCTAACTTGATTATTGGAAAAACATTGTCTTTAAAACCATATTCAAGATTTTTGCCTCATTATTGCTGCATCTTCGTTAGTTAAATGTCACTAAGTTCATGACAGTGCATAATGGTTAAGAATAATACGATCGTACTTCGTCGTTTCACGGCTAATATATTTTAGTTTCTTCTCTCACTTCACTGCCTCAAGGCAGGCTCGACTTATGGCAAAACGCACTCACATAAGTATTTCCAATTACCTTTTCCACTTCGTCGTTCCCAGCGACAGTATTCCGTGCCAGCTGATTGTACTGACTTGCTTATACTGTATCTGCTTGCAGACTGACCCACCGGATCCATCCAAAATTCCGCCTAGCGAGGCTGTCGGAGTTACCGTGGTGTTGCTCTCGTGCTCTTATCGAAATCAGGAATTTGTAAAAATCGGCTACTTCGTCTCGAACGAATACACAGACCCGGAACTGAAAGAAACACCCCCGGAGAAGCCTCGATTTGATTTGGTATTTTGTTTTTACAATTTAATTTTCATTGCCTAAGATAAAATATTTCTTCGTTCGTTAGTTGTATGCTGTAATTAAAGAGAATACAGTATGCTTATAACCGTTGTGACAGTCATGACACTCATTTTAGGGTCAAAATTAATTAGCAACACAATAGTAAGTCTAAAGTTCACATCGTTTTCAGAATTCATGAATGGTTATCTTTTTTGAGCGTGCTAGCAATATTAGGCAAGCGCTATAGAATAAACAGTCTGTGCAATTCGTATGAATAGCATACAAGGGGAACAGTTTTTATGAAAAAGGGTCAACTTCTGTAAAAGCCATTCTCTCGTCCTTGCCGCAGGGAGCGGACAACGATTAAAGTAACGGATTGTCATGCACCGTGAAATGTAGTGGTACTTGTTCCACCTTAGTCACTACTGTAGCCATGATGGCCTGTCTTGATCCAGGAAACTGTCAGGCAGAGTGTCTCTGATGGACTGTTATAAATTCCAGACTGGTGGTTATAGCCATCTAGTGGTTGGCAAGCGATTGCTACTGATCAGACAATCTACACATGAGCTACCCTCTGTGAAAGTTAATGGCAGCCTCTGATGCAAAGCAAACACGTACGCACGTTGGAATCGCGTGGTTGTTTTACTGCGCTCTACATTTCCCTGGCGCCAGAGTATCAGAGGACAACAGATCAAAAGAAGCATGAACTCAAAATACTGCACCATGGTTTTAGCCGTTGGTTGGGCAACACCGTGGCCTGAGTACATTCTTCTGATTGACACAACAGCACATAATCAATTACGCCCACATGATGATGGGTACATCGATTAAGATAAAAAGCAGAGAAGTTCTGTTGATAATTTCTTTAACTGTAAGTTATACTTTAGTGAAAAGTTCTGGCACACTATGGCACAATTAGCATCATCTGCAGTAGACTTTACTGAGTACCAGTATTCGCGTATTAATATGACGGCTTGAGGCTGTGGTCTCATTCCGGTCTAAATGTTTCGTCATTTTGTTGTTGATGAATCGTAGCTTTTCTATCACACGTTTCACAGTGGCTGAATTGTCTTTTTGTTCGCTAACAAAAGCCGAAAATATGCTGTTTCAGAATGGATTTGCTTTCCCCTGCCCTTCGCTTAATTAAGTAAATGCAGACTTAACGATTCGTGTGGTATGCAAACCAGTTCTTATCTTGTAACATCTATGAAATATTAACGAATATCCTTAATGAATTCTTCTGCCTAAAACCAAAATGTAAGAATAAAATAAAAGATCATCTCGCTCAATGTTTTCTTGAAAAAGAAAATAAATCAAGTTTTGGAACTTGTGCTGAAAATGAAGTTATTTTCATTTTTATAGTTGTTTGTTAGGTATTCATATGCATACTTCAACAGTTAGTATTTATGATGTCATATTACTGATTTTATGCTTTCGCGATTTAGTTGACGCGTCATGTCATTGCTGAAGAACCGAGGGTGACAAAACTGCAGATCCAATGGGACGGTAACGACGAAGGGTGTTCGTTAGCCGAAAGCGAACCTGTTCATCAGAATGGCTTTGATCACCCTGTTCCTGACAAGTCTGATGACCAGCTGACTGGTCTGGAACCGTCTACTGCATCCCTCAGCGTTAATAACTCCTGAGCTGCCAGCATGTGAATTATTTTTTATTAAAAATGAGCGTACTCCAAATGTTGTATGTTTTTTGCTAAAGGGGATGCTTGTTTAACATGGCACAGAGCTGCAATGGTTTTCGTAAAACTTTAATAAATTGGTTTTTAGCATGAAGCGGTTTAACAGAGCTGTGTACTTTCGCTTCTGATATTCATCAACGGCTAATGTTATAAACAAAAATAAAATGAATATAACAGGTCTACCATATTGCCTTTTACGTCTGCTACCGAATTTTTGTTAATTTTAGTTTTTCACAGATAAGAACAAATAAACGCCGGGGTAGCTACACGTCTCTAAACACGACTAGTGGTAGAATCATCTGGCTGGCAAAAGAAAATCGTATTCAGATTTGACTGACTGAAGCTAGCGGTTTGCGCTGAGTTAACATATGATTCTGGATATCACGAATATGTTATCGTTGCAGGCACAGTCCACTGACCATCACACTATGTAGAAATCTATCTTTAGTAAAAGTGGACTATGGAACAGATATTATGAAAGTAATACAGCTGTCTGAAGAAAGGCATTGGCGTGCGAGCATTTACAGAAACACTGCAGATACTAGAAGCGCGAGGCACTGTATACAGCATATGGATAATATAGAGGGAGCAATTTCTCGTGGTGGTCTCCAACATACACCTGAAGGTTCATCAGTACATGTGATGAGAAGGAATCTGGGATGAAAATTAACATGATCAAAATGGGCTTTTTTTTATTTCAAAGTACAACGCGCTGTTAAAATTTTTCATTAGCATTTTACAATAGACAGTTACTGCACAGAGTTATACAATAAATGTCAAGTGCCGCAGTAGTTGACATTGATTCTAGCCCCCATGAGATCATGAAGGCTAGAAATAAAATTCAGGAAAATTTCTTGGAATTACTGATGAGATTCGGAACATGACAGTCTGACATATGTTCAGTTTTAAACCATTCTTTACAAATGTAAATTCAGATTGCTCTTTGGTAGGACGTCAGGCTCAAAACCGAGAGATCCCATGGTCGAATCACTTTTCTTCCTCCCAAGCTTTATAAGATAGTACCATTCTGTGAAGGGAAAGCAAGAGGCATATTATGTTTTTTACACAGTTGTAGAATCTGCCCTAAAATATGGCATTCCTGACTGATGGCTTCAAGATGGAGATCAGCATCCAACTGTCAATGTTTAGAAAAGAAGGACGTCAGAAATGTCACGATAATGAAAGTGTTAAGGAGGACTGATATTCCAACGCGGAAAAACTTTCTATTCATGCCAATTTCGAAACTGCAATGGTTTCGACAGGCCATCAAGATATCAAATGAGTGGTAGAGCCGTTCGTAAAGTTTTTTAAGAACCAACCTAAGGAGCAAAGTAGCACACGAGGGTGAAGCAGATTTTGCTAGCCAATTATTCGCATGCATCCTCAGATTCCTGACAGCCTCACTCTGGCGATGACCAGTCAGGCGTTTTGGTTGCATCGACAAGGAGAAGGCGATTTGATTTTGCACATAATTTTCTGCATCTTCCGTCCCCTTTCTTTCTTCACCGGGTTGGGAGACGGGCGAAACTGTTCTAATGTTCGAACGGTTAGCAAAGTTAATATTCTGTCGTGCAATGGATAATTAAGTATTTTTTACGGCATTTTGCCCATTTGTACGTTGGAGTGTATTTTTAATGGCATATTCCGAATTTTTCCAGTTACACAGCGTCTAAATTTTACCGTTATTGATAAAATGTCATTGAATCTGCGTCTGGAACCATTCCAGTCTTTGTTTCCTCAACAGCAGACTGTACTCTTCAACTATGTAGCTGCCCGTTCATTCTATGTTAAACTCGCTAGTTTAAAGTGGCATATTAAAGCTAATCTAACGTATTATACTTTATTACAGAAAACATGTAATTTAACGATAGTGTTAAGTGCTTTGCTAAGTATTTTTAGTGTCGCGAATAAGCGAGTGGACAGCATTTTACGTCAGAGATGGGTTCAGCGGAAAGCAAATCCAGCGGTGACGCATTTTCATGGACCGATCGACATGGCAGCTCGAGCACAAACTCACTTTTCGAAGCTGCACTCGCAGCCTTATGTCACGAGGATGTAGCTGATCAGAACAAGAAGAAACCCGACAACGAAGAAGGAAAGATATGTCGTTCTTCAGAAGCGGCGCTAGGCGAATTAGGAAGCTCCTTCAGCACGCCATCATCGATCAGTGATGATCCTACGACAATCCTTAAAAAAATCCTTTGTTATATCGAACATGGTGACGTCGAAATAACCTTAGATGAGTTACCAGGGCTGATTTCCGTTGCTAGATATCTCGGTTTCGCTGAATTCGTCACCTACATTGAGGAAAGACTTGTTAAGGTAGATGATCCTGCATGTCACACTACTGCAGTCTTATTCATATAGCTGAATGATGATTGTAAATGGGTCCAAAATATGTTAATACTTTGTTGTTGCTTGACATCCATTATTACAGTTATTAATTAATGTGTTAAATACTGTGGACAGAATCGGATAAAATAAAACCCAGTTACTCTTCGGTAGGTATCGCAATGGCAGCATTTGAATTACGCCAATAAATATTATATCTCTATTAGTGATACCGAATTTACAAGGCGGAAAATAACATGGAATCTTTACTTGTTTAAATGATCCATCTGGGTGACCACCAGCAAAGAGCGGTCCCTTTCCGACGCGAAAACTTGGTATCAGTAATTGAGTGGTGACACTATTCTGTGTTCTTCAGCCATCAGCTGGTTCAAAGCAAATCGCCGCGGTATAACTCAAGCATCAGTAGAACGATGGCAAATCTTGCGACCTACGGTATGATCCCACACCAAAACAGTAAGCTGTCCCCATTGCGTAGAACATCCCATTGTTAAAATATTTAAGCCATTTAATATGCTTCAAAGTTGTTGTTTCTTTGCAACCACGAACTAGGGAATATTTAAATTTTTAGGCATCCAGAAATTTGAATATTCTCGGCAAATGCATCGCCATCAGTTATTTCTGCTGCGCTTCTGAAGGGGTAAAAAACGTATTGCTGTCGAAGGTGGTCGAGAACTTAACAAAAGAAGTAGTCAAACAGCAAATTCCAATGTTGCCTACTGCCGCTATTTTCGAATTCCTCAAACGCGACGATGTTCGATACAAATGCAAACAGGGAACAATGCTTTTGGACATAGTCTTACGGTGGATGGATGCGAACCGCTACGCCGCTAGTTTTTTTCCCTTGATACTGAATTGCATTCGGTTTGACCATGTGTCAAGTGATGAAGCGTTCCAGTACCTCGACGAAGCAGAGAACAAGGACCTCGCTGACGTACTGCTTCCAAACATAGCCGCCGCAGAATGGTGAGTATGATCCAATTGGATAAGGTGAGCCTGTTTGATCTGAAAAAGCTATTTCGACGAAATATTATAAAATTCTATAACTGGTAGTTAATGAAAAAAATTTACCACGAAATTAACAGTTATGCATCACTGCCTTTAAAACATATTATATTCTATGTTTAGGAAAAGGCTGTGCATAAATATGGGTCGTGCTGAATATGCACAACTAAACTTGGATAAATGTCCACCACCTACGATGCCGAGGTGTGACGAAGAAGCTACCGAGGTTTCGCTTTTTCCTTAACCATTGTTCGCCGATATATTTCACGATTGTTGATTATTTTCAGACTAAACGTGATGATTTAAGTACAATTTTGCCGATATTACGAATCTGTCACTTCCGTATTCGTAATCATAAAAATCTTTCCTTTACCGGCAGCAACACTTTATGTTGTCATAGCACATAAAGTTTTACCACTTGCTGGAGAGGCTGGCGGTCATTTACATATCGGTCCCCCCCCATTCCGTCCTGTCTTTTTTTATTATTGAAGTTGTCTATTCTAGTCTCTGACGAACCGACGTCTAACCGCAAAGCAGCGGTGACATTGGCGGCTTTTTGTCTTCAAAGTGCGGGTCGCTTTCGTCTCGTCATGAAGCTGTCACTAGGCATTGTGACACTTTCTCTGAGGATTGAACTTGTCGAGCTCGAACCCAGCCATGCCTCGGTGGTCTCACCGCCGCCTGTCCGCGATCTGTTGCATCTAATCTCTATATCAAGAGGTCGCTCCCCAATTCGCAATCCCGGGGACACACCAGATGGTCAGCAACTATGCACACTAGTTACAAATGAAATGAATTAAAAAACAGTCGAATCGTGTTTCATTAGTATTTATCTTTTTTTGTAACGGATTCGTAAATGCTTTTCGACTGAATCAAATCACCTGACGTTTTAATTATAAGAGAATTCTCAATCGTCATTATCATCAATGTGCTCCGTAAACTATTTTATTAATATAAATCCCAGTTTTTGATTGACCTGGATCTGAATTCTGGGGACATTACACAACAACTACAACAAAAATGTAGCAATGATCTTCAGTAGTAAAATGATCGTATACAGCATTGCTTTTGTTCACCCTGCAGCTTTTAATACAACTGCTTGCTATGCACATTGTAGACTTTCTGCCAACAGTAACTTAACAACGTATAACTTATCATGGTGCTACAAAGCATCATTTTACACGAATTCAGAAATTTTCCTACACCCAAGGAGACAACAGCAAACCTCATTCTTGGGCATGTAATAATGTAATCTTATTTCCAACCATAAGACAGCAACGGCCTGAAGTGCAAACGAAGGAAAGTTTTAAATAATTGGAACCTCGGTCTTCTTTATACTTTTATGGTGCTCTAATTTACATGAAATTAACCGTGCAGGCGTTGACCTCCATTTGCGCGCCATTAACTAAGAGTGCTTTATTTTAAAGGCACAGTCGACAGCTGACTGGCAAGTATAGTGTATAGTCCCCTGTTTGCTTTCCATAGACTGATACTCATTTATCAACTTTGGAGAGAAAAACAGGTGAGTGACCCGAGTGGCTAGAACTCGCGACCCATTGGACCTGAGTGGTGCCTTATTCCGACTGAACAACTTCTGTCTCTAGTCTTGAGATATAGCGGTCTTCCTCGACATTTGGCACTGCGTTTTTCAATCAGCAGTGCGTTACGTAAGTTTCACATGTGAAAAACCGAACAAGTGCGCTCCGCAGTTGCATGATAGTCTGTCACAGTGCCAGTCGCACTGCAGATCTATTACATCTTATCATGTTAATATTTATCCCACTACCTAGTACCATCAGAAATTCTTTATTCCAGCTTCAAAACGTACCCTGCACTATTCTAATTCAATTAGACAGCACTAATTAGCAACGCTCAATATTATTTCCGTTAGTATCTTTATTTTTTGTGATAACGACGCAAACTGTTCTCATGTTCTTTAATTCTAGAGTCCACTGCCAGGTTATTGCATAAAACAGTAAACTTTTGGTGTTACTTTCTGAATCACTATAACCATA